GCCCCTCCCTTTCTCTCCACTCGTACTCTCGAGAATTCCGCCAAGAATCTTCCCCACAACTAATCCAAAATCGTAGGTAAGTTTCGTTATTCTGGTTTACTTCCGGTGATAGCAATTTCGTGACGCAGCCCTTTCGGATTCTGATTCGGGCCACGTACCTCTGACAACGAGCTTGTTTCGGGTTAGAGAAAACTCGGGGCAAGTGCTCTCTATCAGTGAGAATAATAGCTCTCTCCTTAGAAAAAAAGAAATTGTCTCTAACTGCATCTCCTCAGAACCCTCGAAAAACTAGAGATCAAGAAAAAACGGTTTGCCAATTATTTTGGAAATTGAGAGGGATACAGTGTTAGAAAGATTTAGTTGCTGTTAACGAGGATTCTTAACTATTAACACCACTGTTCTTAGCTATTACACCGCATTAACTATTAACTATTAACTATTTACACCGCATTAGTAGTTGAGAAGCCTCGTTCACAGCAAGATTATTCTTCGAGATTTTAATTTTCTTCGTAAGCTTGAAGTGTTAATTTTTTCATAAGACTCCGTGATAATTATTTTGACACTTATAAATTAATTATTATCAATGATATTAGACTGACAATTGAGCGCAAATGTATCCAGAATGTTTCTGTTTATATTAAGGATACCCGGCTATCTTTTACAATTTGGCACAGACCACACTATAGATTTCAAGCATTTTCAACCATCAAATTTGTCAATTAAATTGCGTGAGAACTATTTGAAAAAAATAGACCGGTATAAGTGGATTTTGACTATTGCCCAGTTTTCAATGAATATCTCAAAATCTAAGGGAAATAGCAAAATTCTTATCATAACCTTTGTTGTAGAGCAAATTGCGAGCTACAAAAAAGGAAACTACAACGATCTCGCTATTTCCTTTAGATTCCGAGATATTTATTGAAAACTGCCCAATAGTCAAAATCGACTTATACCGGTTTACCATTTCGCTACTGAATTACATATCGCTCCACGATTACCATTCGTACAGTACAATTTTTCACGATTTTCTATGCATTTTTTATCCAACTTTTCTCTCCGTGTGCTACTTTAAAAGTCCATATCAGCGATCCTCAACACAATTCTCTCCATTCCATCCACCAAAACCCCTAAAGCCATTAGACCGAAATTCCCACCCTGAAAATCGCAATCGAATCGTTTCCATCTCGGACGCCATTTTCCGTTGATTACGATGCGGTTAGCTCCTTGCCATTCTCCTTCCCACTGGTACTTGGCACTCCCGAGAATGAACGGGGGCGCGTAGCCACCACCCATCCACTTCGGGGTCCTCCACCCCCTCCGACGAGCGCTACAATTCTCCCCACTAGCCAGGCAAAAAGCTCCTCTGGCCAACGACCCGGCGTTAGAAACGCCTGGCGCAACCCCCCGGCATCTATCACCCAAGACACCATCAACAATTCGTGACGAGTTACACGTATCAGAGATCGAATAGAATCGAATTTTCCCAAATGCTCCCACTAGGACAATAAATACGTCATCTTCTTCGCCTTCTCCGCCCGCAAGAGTTATCCATTACATCATGAAAATTACTTCTGCTTTTTCCTCCCCTATACTCTCACTATTTATGAGATAAGTGAAACATTGAAATTTTTGTAGATTTCCAGTTGTTTTCGGGCATTATCCGCATGAATTATGAAAATTACTGTCAAGATTGTTTTATCACTTGTGCGTAAAGTGAAATTTTACGCACGCTCCGCGTGCGCGTGTGACAATTTTGGTTTTGAGTGATTTATTTTCAGAAAATGTGATATGAATACACCCAAAAAATTATATCTTATTTTAAGATTTTAAAGGTTCTTAAAATAAGATTTTCAAAAGTTTTAATCTGAAGTCGTACTTTATGAAAAAAAATGATAATGCAGAAAAATTGAAATTTTTGAATGAGTATTTGTAGACAACCAATTGTTCATTTTAAATATCATTGTTTATTGTGACAAATTTGTCCATACTCACAATTTAGCAGAAGTTGATTTCGTGAAAACAAAAAAATACTTCATTATGCTATTTTTGCTTTCAAATTTGTTGAATTTGTAAAAATTTTCGAATTTTTACTCAGAAATGATGGAGAATGTTATGAAACGTGAAGTAATGAGGTTTTAAACATGTGTGCGACACTTTAGGTTGTGGGTGATTAATTTTTAGAAAATGAGGCATGAATACACCCAAAACCCAAATACCTTATTTTAAGATTTTAAAGGTTCTTAAAATAAGATTTCCATGTCTTATTTTAAAATATTAAAGGTCTTAAAATAAGATTTTCAAATGTCATAATTTGAAGCCTGACAGTAAGTATCGAAAGTCTCAAGTTGAGACTTGAAGGTCTCAATTTGAGACGTTCGAAACTCTCAGTTAAGACTTTTAAATGCCTTAAGTTAAGATATTCAGAACTCAATTGGAATTTTTCTTTTAGTTGAGTTCTCGAGATCTGAACTTTAGATTTTCGAAAGCCTTAATTTAAAACGTTTGTCACTCTCCATTCAAGATTTTTGGGAGTCCCAACTGGAGGTTTTAAAAACTTTCAGTTTTAAGCTTTTGAACGTTTCAACTTGAGACTTTTTCATAAGTCTGTATTTGAGACCTTTGAAAATCTCACAATAAAGCTTGTTTTTTCTTATTGTCAGTGAAATTCATCGATAAAAATCTGAAATTTCATTGAATTTTCCGTGAACTCTGAAATTTCACGGTTTTCCCACCTGAATTAAATTAAATATCGCTGTCCTGAAAATGAATAGTCATGAAATTAATAATTTTTCCAACACACTATTAGAAATTTCTTGAAATTTCAGTCACAGCGTCAGCTGAATTTTCGATGTTGTGAGGTTAAATCTAATTTCAAATGAAAGCGTTCACTAAATTTCACATTCATTTTGAAAATTGAACATCACATACAATTCAATTTTCAATAGATTGAGAATTTAGAAAAGTTATTGCTTGAATTTTCAAAATTTTCAAGGTTTTTCTGAGCCGTATGGACCTGAAAATCGAGAATTACTTGAATATTCAAAAAATGAACTGATTCGTCCTTAATGAAATATACCGAAATTTGATGTAGCTGTCATTAAAAATTTCAAAATTTTTCACTAGAAATTTCACGAGTAATTTTCCAACAGCACAACCTTAATTCTCCAAAACACTAAACAGTAAATAATCATTTCGAATACTATTGCATCAACCCCAGCATACAAAC